AGAGCACTTGCTGATCTTGCTGAGAACCTGAGTTCAGTTCCCAAAACCTATGTCAGGTGACTATCATATTAAGTGCCTGTAACTTCAGCACCAGGGAATCTGACATCCTTTTTTAGCTTCCTCGGGTGCACACATGCACACACACACATCACACAGACACACACCACACACACACATAGACATATACACACACACACACACAAGCATATCCACACAGAGACATGCATTAATAAAAGCAAAATAAATATTTTATAAGAAACTAAAATAATGTATTTGCTGATTAGTTTTTTTGTCAATCTGACATGAATTAGAGTCATCTGGGAAAAGGGAAGCTCAGTCAAGAAAATGACTCACACTGGTCTATAGGAAAGTCTGTGGACTGTTTTATTGATTAGTGATTGATACAGATGGGCCCATTCCACTGTGAGTGGTAGCACCCCTGGACAGATGTTCTTGGAAGGTATAAGAAAGGTAGAAGAACATAAGCCTAGAGAAAAGCTAAAAGCTGTGTCCTTCCCCAGCGTTGGTGGGCCAGAAAGAATTTGACCTTACTACAATAGGACCTAGGCGGAGTTATCCGCCCTGGCTGCACATGCAAATTCCTACATGAATTTAGAAGAATAGACTGCCCGCTGACCTTATTTGTGACATAATCCAAGACATAATCCCATAATCTGGCTGAAGCAAAGGATGGGTTAAGTGGGGTTTTCCCTATAGATACAAGAGCTGAATATTAAACTTTGAGCCTTGATCAGAGAACTTTGTCTTGGCTTCATGTTTCTCTTGCATCTCCATCTCTTTTCATTTCCAGCCCTCCTTTTGGGTGAACCCAGTTCCCCGTTCACGGCTGCTGGATGGCTACAAAAAGCAGTGTTCTCCCTGATGCCTGCTTCAGTGTCTGCCCTCAGTGATGGAGTGTGACCTTGGAATTCCTAGATGAAATAAAACTCTTTCCTCCTCAAATTGCTTTTAGCTGTGGGATTTATCCTAGCAATAGAAAGCAAACTAAGACAATATACAACACAGCTCTTATTCCTCTCCCCTTTCGCCATTTTTGGTAAAGCCTTGTGATACAGTCTCAAATAAAACAGAGATTCGCACATCCAAGCTTCTCTTGTAGCTACAGACTTCTAGCTCTGCATCATCAATGGCAGTTAAAGAGGATACCCTTCCAGGACAAGAGTTTTCCTCAATGATCAATATAGAGGGAGGGACACAAAGGATCTTCAGTTGCCCTGGCCATGCACTCAGATACACTGTTAGGGTTTGGATCACAGAGGCCCGCAACAGCCCACATGTTGAAAACATCAGACTGCAGCTGATAGGCATCGAAACAATATTAGATCATCAGAACTAGTAAGAGGCTTGTTCCACCACTCACTGTCTGCCATGATGCTCTGCCTATCACAGGCCCAAAGCAACAGGGCCAGGTGGCTATGGATAGAAATGTCGAAGGCTGTCAGCCAAAGTATCTTTTCTCCTTTTAACTGATGTTCTTTCGTGTTTTATCATGGAACAAAAACTGACCAATCTACACATGTTCTCATGCTCTGTGGGTGTGTGATGTTGAGAGTAACAGATGCTTTCAGGAACCAGAGATGCAGCAAACCTGGGAATCAAAAGTTGACTTGTTGGAAGATGGGAGATTAGAGTTTCTCTGGACCCTAAAAATATTTTTTTTGAGTCACTCAATAACTTTTGTTCTCCCTATCATCAGAGACAGCTTACAGGATAAGAGTCTTAATGTTTTTAAAGCACTACAGTAAGTCTTGTATTTGTGGAGGAAAACAAAACAAAGCAAGCAAACAAACAACAACAACAACAAAACCTTGCACAGTTCTCTACTGAGTTTACCTGTGCAGTGTGCAACCTTCCTCTTCTAGTAACAGTGCTGTGCCACGGCCTTGAAGAGCTAACACAGAGATTGCATTTAAAAGTTCAAATAGGATTGACTGCAGTCCTGAAGTCTGCAGAAAGCATGAGACCAGGTTTAGCCAATCAAAGTGCTCCCCTTACTATACCACAGTAGGCAGGCAGCCCAGCGAGGTTCAGTTCTGGGATTTGGGGCAGAACCAGTGGGGAATGGAGGTGTTCCATTCACTGAGAGTGCTGCTTCAGAAAGGAGGCCTGCACAAGCTCTCGTCAGAGCTGAGAAATGAGAAGGCTCATTTCTGATGATGTCTTCAAGGCTTTGGGACACTCCTTTGCCTGGGCCACCTTTGGACTTACCTTTCAGTTTTCCAAACCAATAAATTTCTGTTTTCATAGGTCAGTTAAGAGCTGAAGGAATTCTAATTGATCCCGGCCAGAGTCCAAACTTCCAGATAGGAGTGAGAGCCTCGGCTGAGATAAAGCAGGACTTGGGGAAGACAACACAGCATTCCTGCAGGGCACTGGCCCTCTTCCACATAGCAGAAGCAAAGGCATGGTCCAGCAGGTAAATAGAGGGACTTAGGTTCAAATAGGCTTCATAGGCTTAAATGGCTAATCTTGACTGGTGAGACTTAGAAAAAAATGTGGAAACAAATCTCTGGGCATGCCTGTCAGTGATTATCTAGATTAGGTTAACTGAAGTGGGAAGGCCCACCCTGAATGCTGACATGGTTCCATGGGCAGGGTTTCTGGACTGAATAAAATAATAGAGAATAAGCTCGACACAGAATTCATCTCTCCCTGCTCCCGGTCACAGGTGCAGTGCGAGCAGCTGCCTTGGGCCCCCACCACGATGGACTGTGCCCTCAAGCTGTGAGCCACAGTAAACTCTTTCCATACGCAGTTTGCAGAGTGTGAAACTCAAGGTACTTTAACTAAATCATGCTAAGCTTACAGTCTCTACTGTGGGCAAGACTGATCCCTTTTAAGAATCAATGCAGGCCTATGATCCAACAGTTGAGGCAGGAGGATTGAGGATCTCCTCTTCAGGATAAGGAGACAGGTTCTTCTAGACAATTCCAGAGCAGCCACAGCTTCACCAGCAGTTCCAGAGGAATACTGAGATAGTTCTAGCATCCTTCCACTTTACTCTGGAACCCTCTCTCAACTGATGCTGGGGGTTTTTTGTTTTGTTTTTTTGTCTTGTTTTGTTTTTATTTTATTTTGTTTTTCATTTATAGGACAAGCAATTTCATTTAAAATTCAAGTATACACATTTTAAGTGGCTTTGCCACAGAAAAGAATTTTAGAATGAGCTAATATAAAGCAGAATTAGAATATATTGGGAAGAGTTTTTTTTTAAAGGTTTATTTACTTTGTCTCTGTGTGTGGGTTCCTCCCTGTTTATATGTGCATCACATGTACTCCACGTGCCTGTGGGGGCTGCCAGACTGTGGGACCTTCTGCAACTGAAGTTACAGGTTGTTGTGAGCCACTATGTGTTTGTTGAGAACTGAACTCAGATTCTCTGCAAGAGAAGTAAGTGCTCTTAACTACTGAGCGACTGTTAACAAAACAAAGCAGCCACAGGTGTAAGCAGCAGGTAGGAGGGTGTATCAGAATTCTGGGGAATCATTCAAGGTAAAGATAAGAAACACCCAGATGTGGGTGTGCACATCTCAAGAACGTCATGAGTAATCGTCTTTATCATAGCCATTTTGGTGGCATCTTAAAAGGTTTATAAAGCAGTTAAATGAGATCATAGGGTGGTTCCTGAGGTACACAGGATATGGTTACAGCTGATCACGTAAAACCTTAAGTCCCAGGAAATACACAAGAAGTTGACATGTATTTACCATATGTCATGTAAAACCATAAGCAAAAGTTTATGGTCTCCCAGGAGCATCTGGGGAAGAGTAAAACAACAATGAAAGGTCACACAGGCTCAAGCTTTAAGCATTGTCTTAGGTTTCCATTGCTGTGAACAGACACCATGACCAAGGCAACTCTTGCAAGAGACAACATTTAATTGGGGCTGGCTTACAGGTTCAGAAGTTCAGTCCGTTATCATCAAGGTGGGAGCATGGCAGCATCCAGGCAGGCATGGCACAGAAGGAGCTGAGAGTTCTACATCTTGTTCCAAAGACAAACAGAAGACTGGCACCCATGTGGCCAGGAGAAGGGTCTCAAAGCCCACCCCCACAGTGACACACCCACTCCAACAAGGCCACACCTCCTAATAGTGCCACACACTGGGCCAAGCATATTCAAATTGCCACATGCATGTTTTGTTGCTATTTTAACTTTTTAAAAGTTTTTACTTATATGTTTGTGTCTGCTTCTCTATATTTACAAAATATATGCAGTACCTGTGAAGGCCAGAAAAGGACATCAGATTCCCTGAAACCTGAGAAGCAAGCTGTTTTGAGCCATCCAATGTAGGTACTAGAAACTGACCCTGGGTCCTCTGAAAGAGCAGTGAGTGCTCTTAAAGGTCAGTTCATCTCTCTAGTCCCTATCTTAACACTAGTATTTGAAATATCCCTAAATAAAAGCAATGGAGTAGGAAAATTCCACAGCTTGAGATAGATAGATAGATAGATAGATAGATAGATAGATAGATAGATAGATAGATAGACATCACTATCTCTCTATCTTGTGTCTGTATGTCTATGTGTGTCTGTGTGTCTGTGTGTGTGCTTCTACTCTGCCTCAATGTGGCTTTTATACTCTTTTCTGCAGTCTGGCAATGTTTGAACTATTCTCCAAAGCTTGGAGTTTAACCATACACTTTAGAAAAATAAGCATGGTTTATTACTGTACCCCATCCTCCCTGTAGCCATCAACCCCATCACATTATCTTTCCTCCAGGGGATCGGAGAAAACTCACTCAAGAGGCCATATTTCCCTTAATCCCCTTAGTTTGCTCAACCAAGTAGTAAGGAGATGGAACATTTGTGTTGCCTAAACAAAACCAAGATAAACATGCACACATACCCACACATGAACACACATGAGCACACTTTTCTGATAACATTACTTCATCTTCCTTAAGGCAACCACCTCTCACTCTATGCTAAGTCTTCAGGCCTTATTTCAGGGTTTGGAATTATTCTATGACACAGGCATAGGGTTTTTTTGTTTTGTTTTTTGGTTTTTGGTTTTTTTTGAATGTTCCATTCACCTGGAAATAGAGAAAAGACCCAGCCAGGTCAATGATGCTGCTTGGTTGGTGTTTCTGGAGTAAGACATGGCTTCTTCTGGGTCAGTAGGCTAAGAGGATGTAATCTGGATAGCTGTCGACCCTTTGTACTCCCAGGAATGGTCCCAATGCAAGAAGGCAGCCAAGTCAAGAACCCTAGGTGACAAAATTCAATCCTGATGACATCATGCTTGTCCTTGGATCTGGCTATGCCTAAAGGCAACTACTTCTGGTCTGTCTAGACACAGGCACTTGTCACTCTTCATTTTTCTATCATGTCACTTTGGGTTGGCTTTTCAGCCACATGTAACCAAATCACTGGCTGATTCACAAATCTGAGAGCAAATAAGACTTCAGCACACATTCCTCCCAACTCCCTTCCTAGCCCTAAGCAAAGTTTCAAAGTAGAATATGGCTTGTGGGATCCTGCCTCCAGGGCCCTAAGGATGAATCCCAAACCCATAGACACTTGCATGAGTCAAAGACACAGGGGTCACTTCAGGATCCGGATGCTCATTTTTTGTTCGATGTTCATCTTCTCTAAGGACTGGGGAGAGATGGGCACGGTCAAGTCAGGAGGCTCGAGTCTCAACGCATCTCACCTCCTCCCCTGGAGTCCTAGCATATCCCAGTATGCCCAGGTCTCTCCCATCCTCCAGTGAGTTGAATTTCCCATGCTCTTCTGTCCTAGGGACTCCTGACCTCAACTTCTCCTAACCTTGGTGAACTCCAGGAAGGACACGGCCCCATCCCCATCTTCATCAGCTTCCTGCACTGTTCGGTCTGTGATGCTCTCCAACTGCTCATCTGTCACCTGGACCCCAACCATGAGGCGGAGAACCTGGGAGGTGAGAGGAGAGGCGGTCATAGAGAAGAGCCAGAGGCTGCATCTCCAGCCCCAGCCCTTGCCCACCTCGCCCCATAAGTTAGAACCAATTTTTTCTCACTCACCTCCAACCATCAAACTCAATTTCCCCTATAGCCTGTAGCAAACGCCTGCCGCTGCGTCACTGTCTAGTCTTCTAACCCAATCACATCCATCCTCCACTCCACAACACTTTACCCTCCACCCTAACTTCATCATCTATCCCAGAGTCTTGGCACTACTGACATTTGGACCTAGATAACTCCTTGATATGGAAGGCTGTCCTAGGTGTTTGGGTGTGTATAGCAGTATTGCTGGCCCGTTCTCCATAAACATCAGTTGTGTGATCTCTTCCCGGTAATGACAACCAAGTTTCTCAGATACTGGCAAGAGGCTGAATTACACCCAAGTTGGGAATCAGAGTTCTATTCTCAATTTTGTGCCTATTTACTCCCCACTCCTTGTCCTAACTAACCCAACCCCATCCTATCCCAGGTCTTACCTAACACACAATCTTCTGCAACCCCATTCATCACACACACACACACACACACACACACACACATGCACACCTCCATTTAACCATCCTGCCCTGCCCATATCACATCTGATGCACCCATGGTCTTCTGACCTGTAGCATTTCATTCCTGGAGATCTTCCCATCCCGATCCAGATCATAGAGCTGAAATGCAACTAGGAAAGGAGAGGGGAGGAGAGAATGAGGCTCCCTGCGCTGACATTATGTCCTCACCAGGCTCACAGAGGGAGTGAGAGGTTCTTGGGTCTCTCCTGGTATGGATAAAACTGGGGGAGGGGAGTGTCTCACTTGGGAAAGTCTCACACACTCACAGCGAAGTTTGTTCATTCTGCTGTTTAGGGGTTCAGGTTGCTTGGGGTCTCGGAGTGTGGCATCTTCTTCATCTATAGGTCGAAAATAAGCCAGGACCCTGGCAAAGCCTGCGAAATACAATCTCTGACTCCTATAGGGACAAGGATGGAGAAGGTCAGTGGTCACCCAGGCTGCCACCATCTGTAGCTTCACCTCCCACCCACGTCCATCTCCCCTCCAGTCAGCCAGGGGACACTCACCCGTTGGGGAAGAAGCTGTCTATAATGCGGTCACCCAGGGGGTTCACAGCCAGCGCTCCGATCTGCTGGAGGTCTAAGCGGCTGCAAAGACAAAGCAATGAAGGCAAAAGAGGCAGATGGAGGTGATACGGAGGGAGCGGGGCCAGGAAAAAAAAATACTGGCAAAAGATCTTAGATTTGATCTGCTCACCTCAGGAAGCCCTTTTCCTCCCTGTCCAGGGCTTGGAACCGATGATAGAGACGGAGTAGGCTGGCTTGCGAGACTGCGGAGAGAAGGAGGTGGGGATGAACCTGCAGAGGACTCGCAGACCCTTATTGCTAGATTCCGTGTGCCTTGGGGTGCGCTGCAGAAACCCCTGGCTCAGACGACGTGGGCGGGGAACAAGAGGGCTTATTCTCATCTGTAACCTCCCCCTCTACCCTTCAATATAACAGGGTCATCTATCTCCCCACCCTCAGCGCGACTTCAACCATAACGAAGAGGCCGACAGGTGGGGATACAGGGAGAGAGAGCGAGAGTCCTTACCCTTGCATGACCGGGTGTGGAGTCGACTCTGCTGGAGGGAGTTTGACTCAAGGAAACACTAGGTTGGAGAACCCAGGAGGTTCCCAGAGCCCAAGCATCAAAAGTAGCCCACTGCATCCGTCCTCAGCTAAGGCTTCAGCATCCGAGCTCAAGGACATCTGAGTGAATCTGGTCCATCAACCCGGACCACCTCAAACTTGGCTCTTAAGTGCCTTGCGATCCCGGACACTGGGATCTCAGTTTCGCAGCTCCAGAAGCGCAAATTCCCAGACTCAGACTCCAATCCTTTTAAGTCTCTGGGATCTGAAATACTCAAGCTACATTCTGGTGATCTCCTACACTACACTGAACCTCCTCCTGTGCCTGCCCACTTACTACTGGTCTGCGCCGAGCACCACCACTACCACCACCACCCACATACTCACAGCCCGTCTCTCTGCGAATTTGGTCCACATCGGGAATGAGCGCAACATGAGAGCTCCGTGAGCCCATGGCAGAGTCACAGGAGGAGCCGAGCAGCCAGGGGAACCAGGCGTCCTCTCCTTCCTCTCCTCCAGTCCAAAAGGCGCGGCTGCCCAGTGGCCCCAGAGCCGAAGGTCACGGGCCTGGAGAGCAGCCAGAATCCAGGCGTTTTTCGCCTGCCCTCTACAACCCTGGAGAACAGAAAACAATGCCCGGGGTAACAGGTCAGAGGGGAAGGCTGAGAACAACTGGTTGTTTCAGCCCGGAGATTGAAAACGCCAGGGCCCCTCCTTCCTCACGCCTGTGTGAGCCAATTTTCTCCCCAACACTCCCTAAACACAAACCCACCTCCTCCATGGGACCTTCAGCCAGTGCTGATCACTCAGTTTAAGTTCTGCTTGGCGGGATGAAGATTTTCTTCTGGGGATCGGAAGAGGGGGCAGGGAGAGAGGATGGCCCCCTGGGCAGGAGGGATGGTGATGGGGAAGTCTGGGCTCCACTAAGTGGGACAGCATAGACGGGAATCCTAACTACTCTCTTCTTATTCTACACAAGGCCACGATGTTTTGTCTATGTCGGAGTATCGTGTAGCTGAACAAATTCTTAAGATCTGCGAAGCCTCATGACACCGGCACTGAGGAGGCTGACCAGAAAATTAGCTATATGTGGCTACTCTGAGCTACATGAGTCCTAAGCCAACCTGGGCTTCCTTGTTTGACCTTGTCTCAAACAAATGTGTAAGATTTATCCAAAATCCCGACTCCTGGATTTTTTCAGAAATCAGAAGTTCTGGGGCTAACTTTTGCGGCTGAGTGGGACAGCATCGCCTGCCATACAAGCCCAAGGCCCTGGTTTTGACCCATCGCTGTGGGCTGGGGAAATTCCTAGACATTTTGATATCCCCAACGAGAGGCTACTTGCCATGGTGCCCATACAACCCATGTTCATTCTCCCAATGTGCCCTTTGGGCCCGATAGAACAGATGTGTAACCACTTAGGCTTCTGACCAGTGCCGATCACCGACAAGCTAAAGTCTGTGACCTGGCTTAAAATACTAGATAGTCACCTACCTCATAGGTGGCACATCCACACAGCATTCTATCAGAAAGTAAGCATCTGAAGAGAATCTGCTGAGATAGAAATAACAAAGCACAGACAAGTCATGAAAAACCTATGTCTAGATCAAGTAGTCAATGTAACACCCCAGAACCAATATGCCAGAACTCAACATGGAGAATTTGCAATTTTAGGGACCTTATCAGGGCAAACTTAACACAGCCTGAACTGTGGGCAGGAACTTAGTGACATTCAATAAAGTACTTTTAAAAGAATTGAGGCCAAAATCCAAATTGATTCTCCTCTAGGTTTGTTTTGAACAATATATATGATAGGATACCCACGGGCATAGGATGTGGTAGGATACCCACAGGCATAGGATGTGGTAGGATACCCACAGGCATAGGATGTGGTAGGATACCCACAGGCATAGGATGGAGCACTGCTGATACTTAGAAAGCCTCCTGCTAACATTTTAATATCCCACATGAACACAAGCAGGGGTGTCGTTTAACATTTCTACCTTGGATACATTTATTATCTATTAAGATAATATTAATAATAACGCCCCCTCCTCCATTTCTGTGATTAGTGAAAGGGGAATTCAAGGCAAGCTCAATGCAGAATGTTGCACATAGTAAGAGGCAAACAAATGCAAAAGGCAGTGTCTCATGTAACAGTAGCAACAGAGCAACAGAATTGCTTTTACTTCTTTGCATACTTGCCAGGCTTCAAGGTGCAAATGGTAACAGTAATTCATACATTGAATTAAAACATGTTCGAAGCATTTTACTTACATGATTATTTGATCTCTAATGTGGGAAACATAGACAATAATGAACTGAGTCCTTACTATAGCCAAAATACTGCAGAGTACAAACAAATAATTTTACAATGTATCTTTATCACAAATGATTATCCCAGCACTTCTTTCTTCCATGTCCTTTTTTGTCTTCTGGAATTTTCTAAAATAACAACAACTTGTCAGTCATCGTATATTACAATGTTCAAAATCAGTACAGGTTTCAATGGACATCAATTCTAATTAAAATTATATTTAAAAAATACCAAAGAGAATAAAGGCCTGTCCAGGTGCTCCTGGGGCTTTGCTATGTACTCTATGAGTCCTTGCTGAACTTGGCACTTTCATGTGTTTTGTGAACTGCTGAGAGGCACGCTGCCCTATTTTCTACAGATATATGGGAACACCACACTCTGAGTCATTAATAAAGGAAAAAGAGGTTAGGGCTGAAGAGGTGGCTCAGCAGTTTAGAACACCTGCTCTTTCAGAGGACCCAAGTTCAGTTCCCAGCACCCACATGATGGCTCACAACTGTTTGTAGCTTTAGGCATCAGGGATCCAATGCCTTCTTCTGGCCTTGGGAGACCCAGGCATCCTTGTGGTACACAAGACATATATGCAGGCAAAACACCCATAAACATAAAAATAATTTTAAAAGAATAAAGGACAAAAATTTAGGTGGGGTGTGGTATCCCACACCTTTAATTCTAGCAGACAGAGGCAGAGACTGGTAGATCTCTGTGAGTTCAAAGCTAGCCTATTTTATACATCTAGCTCCAAATCAACTGTGTATACACAGTGAGAACCTGTCACAAAGATAAATCAATTCATTAATGTGAAGTGGTCCATGCCTATAGTCCTAACACATGAAAAGCTGAGGCAAGAGAAGACAATCCAGAGTTAAGGGCTATCCTGAGCTACATAGTGAGTTCTGGGCCAGTCTGGGTAACAGTGAGCTCCTAACTTCCAAAATATAAAAGGAAGAAAGAAAGAAGAAAAGACAAGACAAAAGGGTCATTCAGCTCTGGACTGGGAAGAAAAGGATCAGGTAGCTTTGTCTGGGGTATCCTCGATGGTGAAGTCTCTGCAAAGTCCTACATAGCACAGGGCATCACATGACCAGTCCAACAGAGTATCCCAACTCGGTGCTCCCATGTTCTCATAAAGCCACAGACCCAACCTAGACAAGTGTAGCAGGCCTCTCATCCTAGCAACTAAGGAGGCTGGGATAGGAAGATTACATGTTCAAGGCCTTCTGGTGCTACAAAATGGGCTCAGGGCCAGACTGGGCAACTTAGACACTGTTCCAACATTTAAAAGTAGGAGACTGAAGAGATGTCTCAGTGAGTAAGAGTACTTGCTGTGCAAAAGTGAAGGAATGAGTTTGACCCTCTAACATCCCCAAAGATGCTGAACATGGCCACACATGTTCACATGTGCACACGAATGCATGTGTACACGCACACATATGTGTTCATATACACACAGACTTTATTTAATTTTTTTTTGTAAGGTAAAAGCTTATGGAGGATGTAGCTCTGGGATAGAAGAAAACTTACCAGCAAGCCTGTCACCCTAGGTTCAATCCTCAATACTGCCACAAACAAGTATCTAGTTTTAAAACTACCCTAGCATTATCCTATCTGCATATATATACATATTCATAGGTATGGCATGCAAGAATTTTGTTACAAGGGTTCATTACCATTTGAGAGAGAAAAACAGTCTATTAGTCTCCAGCCTGAGACAGAGGCTCAACTCCAAAGAGACTTGAAAATATTGATCTAAAAAGTGCTTGCTTCACTTTCAGACTAAGTAACTGACAGAAAGAGCGCTGGATTCCCTTTCAGATGTCCCCTAAGGACTAAAGAATATGGGAAGCTACCCTCCTCCCCACAAAACCCAGCCAACACTCCAGGCCAGAGCTGGGAGTTAGGCTGAACCCAAGAAGGAATGAGTCCCTGATCCTGTGCAGTAGTAACCTCCAGCAGGGTAAGAAAGGGGTTTCCATCCTTGCTCTCTGAGTCAACACTTGCTCAAGTAAGTCATTCTAGTGCAGTGACAAGCCCATATGCACAACCATCCCCAAGCCTCAGGGGGACCCTGTGTCAGGATTTGTTCCTGCTTCATGCATGCAAGTGGGGTTCACATCAACTCCACACTGTGCACGCCATCTGTCCAGTTGTTTAGGGAATTTTTCTGAAGAACTTATTAGATGTGCTTCAGTGTGTGTGTGTGTGTGTGTGTGTGTGTGTGTGTGTGTCTGTGTGTCTGTGTTACTGGGGATGGAAACCAGAGCCTTATATATGGGCAAATGCTCTACCACTGAGCTACATCCTCAGCTGAAGTATTTGTTTGTTTGTTTGTTTGTCTGTTTACTTTGAAGTTTGCTAACTTTGGCAGGCAAGATGTCTTAACAGTTAAAGGCACTGGCTGCCAAGCCTGAAGACCTGTGTTTGAATACCAAGAGGTGCATGGTAGAAGAAGAAAACCAACTCCTGGAAGTATTTCTTGGCATATATACAGTGCTCTGACACACACATTCATACAATTTTAAATTTTTGTCTAAGACTTATTTTATGTGCGTTAGTGTTTTGTCAATGTGAGGGTGCCAGGTCCCTGGAACTGGACAGACAGCTGTGAGCTGCCATGTGGGTGTTGGGAATTGAACCTGGGTCCTGTGGAAGAGGAGCTAATGTTCTTAACTGCTGAGCCATCTTTTCAGTCCTCAATTTTAATTTTTTTGTAAGTTGCCAACTCTCTTAGTTAGGGCTTTATTTCTGTGGAGAGATGCCAGGACGAAGGTAACGTTTATATAGCACAATATCTAATTGAAGTTAGCTTAAAGTTTCAGAGGTTCAATCCATTATCATCATGGTAGGAAGCATGACAGCTCTAGAAGGAGCTGAGTGTTCTAAGTTTTGATCCAAAGTCAGCCAGGAGACTGTCTTCTGCAGACAGCCAGGAGGAAGGTTTCATTCCAACAAAAACAAAAGAAAACCACAAGTCTCAGTGAGGAGATGGAAAAATCAGAGACCTCATGCATTGTTCATAGAAGGCAAAATGGTGCAAACATCATGGACAACAACTTTGAGATTTCTCGGTAAGTAAAAACTACCACATGATCTAATAATCCTCTCCTAAGTATATACACAAAAGAACTGAAAGATATAAGTTCATTAGTCAGTGGGCAGATTCCTCATCAACAACAAACAGAAGTACCATGTGGCCCAACTCTACCTTCTCCTGGGTATTTTTGCCTGAAGGATTCTTGAATCAGCCCATCACAGAGAGATGCTTGCACGTCTATATTGATTGTCCAGAAAGTCAACTTGGGAGCCAGCTTGGATGTCCATCAACACATGAGGATGAAGAAAATGTGGT